GTTGTTTAAATTGTTCTTCTATGCTTAATGGGTTCCTAATGGTTAATTTTAGGTTAGACAACAAATGATCAAATTAGGGAATTAGGAACACAAGGTTAGGACCAAACACCATGGCCTAATCATACTTTAGCTAGAATCAATCTTTGAATCTGAATTAGACTTGTTACTTGAATCTTTATAACCCAGAATTGAATTGTTATGGTGATTCGAATGCCCTAGTCTCAAAATCTGTTTTCCAACTCTTAAAACCACTCTTTGTTACATTTGTTTACTTGTTTTTGTTTGCAATTTCATTTTGCTTCTTTTGTTCAACAATCACAACCACTCTTGTTTTAAATTCTATTTTAGACATAACCTCCTACTTTCTTGAATTTGGTAATCTAAGTACATAACTAGTTTTAACTTCTCAGTCTTCGTGGGTACGACCTCGTACTTGTCTTGCTATACTACTAATTGCCCCGTACAATTGCGAGTTAACATAATATTAACAACAATTACGTTGTCCTGGTGTTTTTCACTTCAAAGAATTTTACGAAGCAATAAAAACTTCTTTTATCTCTTCAAATACCCAGTAGAAGTGATTCAATTTCAGAGAAGGTTAAAGTGATAATTAATTTATTTACTGTGGACCTAAATTTTTTAATGGGGCATTTGATTATAAGGATTTTGAACTCTATTAATTCATACTAAGAGATATTTTAGCTCAAATATTTAAGAACATTTACTTGTGCACTCGAGACATGAATTAAAATATAAAATAAAAGAAACTATGACTTCATAAATTTGATTCGGGGATTAAAAATCATGTCATAACAACTTTAAAATAAGCGAACCATTCTGAGCCCATTTAAACAGCAAATGCCGCAAAAAGACCCGCTAGTGTAGTGGTTTGGAGTATTTACTCCCTCAGGCAAGGTCCTGGGTTCGAGTCCTAGCATCCGTGTAATGTGTGTGAGTTTAGTATGCTATCGCCCCTCTCAATAATAAAGATCCTCAAAAAGAAAGAAAAAACAGCAAATGCCCTGGGCTTAAAACGCATGACACCATGGAAGACCACACGGTAAATATAGAAGAGCAATACAACGAGATTTAAACCAAAAAGTAAAAAAGCAAGGTTGAGATATTTCTTTGCATATAAACAAATCCATCATCCCAAAACATGTCAAACTATAAAACCACAAATCACTCTTAAGTATATAAAAACTGCACAAGTGAAATCCAGTCACCAGAGATTTTAGCTGAATTACTGCAGATATATGTCCTACGTAACAAAATATTAGTTTGTGATTTCTGTGAAACTATGATTCGACGTGTTAGCCAAAAACAGGGAAAATGCAAGGTTGGGATATTTCTTTGCATATAAACAAATCCATCATCCCAAACATGTCAAACCATTCTCCACAAGTGAATTCTGGTCACCAAATATGGCTGCTTCGAAAAACTTAGTTACTGCAAGGGGCCAACTGGAAGGAGAGAGTTGTGTTAATCAACAAATGAAGATGACTACGGAACAAATAATATCATTGTAAGTTGTAACATCAAACTCTAATAGTATCTGTACAGACTCACCTGATAAAGGCAATAACAACAGAAATGTGCCAATGATTCCATTCAAGTTTGACTGTCTTAGTAAACTTTCCCAGAAACTCGATGATGATAACCTAAAGAAAAGCAAGCGAATGTCAAAAAATTTAAACATTCATCAAAGACCCATGGGAAAAAATGAAAATATTAAAGTCTCACCTGAAGTACAAGTGTTATTGCCACTATTCCCATAAAGAGATGGTTCTTAGTAATTCCTTTGAATATATTAAACTCATCAGGCTTTCGAGCATTGAATTCATTGAAAATCTGCGAGTTAAAGATTGTCACTTATTAAAGTCATAATGTAGCATATCTCATCCAATCTGGAAGAGAACACATGAAGTGTTATGTCTACAAGTACAGACGAACAAACCCTAGTCGGACTCAATCAACGAGTAAAAAACATAAACAAATCCACACAAAGTTCCTTATAACAGAACTAACAAATTACAGAACATTTTTTACAGATCAACAATTTCACATCACTTTGGTAGAAATTTAGTGCAGAACTTCACATGGGAAACAAGTTATTTCAGCTGATTGCTCATATCATAGTCAAGGATCTTTTATAAAATTTTACAAGAAAAATAAAAACCATAAATACATGTGCAGATATCGGATACCAAATACAAGTGTTACTGTTCTATTAACTTACTTGACAAAGGACAAAGGTATTGAATATCAGTGTATTCTTCAGCTTGTTAGCATGGTCTCTGTTGGGATCATGTGTCAAATGCAGTATACTTATCCCACGAAAGTTGAGGATAAGCAGGACGATGCTTTGGTAGAAAGCCTGAGTTCAATGACAACTTATCAAAAATACAAACAACAAGGCATATTCTGTAGCGCGAGATTAATACACGGTAAAGAACAATAATACGTTAGTTTACATAAACGCCAGAAAAAGCATGTACCTGAACCAACAAGTTCCACCACATTATCTTTGTTATAAGAGGCTCTCTGCAAAACAATGTAACCATAACTGCATTACTATTACCGTCAGAGACACAAATAGGGCATCCAAATTTGGTCAGTCTGCTTAATGACATCAAAATTAATAGATATGGGCCAATTAGAGGTCGCCATATTCAAAACAATAACACAATATACCTAATCACTAGAGAAAAGAAAGTAAAACTATATCTTGACTGAAATTAATGATCCGAAAGTAATTAGTTTCTCATGTTCTGTGCACAAGAGACAATACTAAATATGATTTGGAGCATCCTTCCCAATCCCATGGATGCACGTAACTAGAATGAATATTCGTGACAGCTTTTTTGACACGGACTTTTAACCTAATTAAAACACATTTTGGCACAAACTTTGCTGCCATAGCTGTGAGAGGTACTGTACCCTATGGAACTTTAAAAACAGCTAGATTTAATCCAAAAATAATAAAAACTCTTTTTTTCAACTAAAGTGAAAAATATTCAGACATTTTTGGCGATTAACATAAAATAACAGTGTTTCAGTGATATGAATATGATACGTTTTTTTGTTGAATTTTAGAAGGCAGCCACCACTACAGAAACTTACTTTCGACCAACAGGGTTTCTGTCCATCAAGTGATCTGTAGGAGGCTCAGTAGCCAACGCTAGTGCTCCAAGAGTATCCATGATAAGATTCACCCACAGAAGCTGCATCAAGCACAAGAAAAAGAGTCCACAGGTGTACACACAGAGAGAGAGAGAGAGAGAGTGATAATACCTGAACAGCATTTAGTGGAACATCACCAGAGGAAATCGCTGCCACGACATTTATAATTAGTGCTGCAACATTGACTGTAAGCTGGAATTGGATGAATTTCTGAATATTTGCATATACAGATCGACCCCATCTAACAACCTACAAGCATTGAGAAGGAACCAATAAGTCATGTGTGACTTTAACATTATAACGGTGAGAGGGACGTGCAGAAGTAATACAGAAGGAAATAGTAATAAACAGAAGAAGAAAAAAAAAACCCCAAAAAACCAAAAACTAGTATATGTCATTGGTTGCATAGTATTCCTAACCTTCACAACTGTAGCAAAATTATCATCCAATATGATGATATCTGAACTCTCTTTGGCAACTTCAGTCCCTTGAATACCCATAGCAAGACCAATGTCGGCCTGAACTCAAATGTGGAAGATTCCAAACAAAACCATTAAGACATAACATCAAACATTAACAATGAATTAAGAAAGGAAAAAAAAAAACGAATAAACTACAAAGTACTACGGTGATTGTAACCGTAATAACTGCTTCGATAAATAAAATAAAAAGAAAGAAAAGGCAAGTAAAAACATCTGAGAGACCTCACGCAGTGCAGGAGCATCATTAGTGCCATCTCCAGTAACAGCAACAACATGTCCCTTTCTCCTCAATGCTTGCACAAGCAGAAGCTTGTCATTGGGGGAAGACCGCCCCATCACCTGCACGTTAAAGAAAAAAGATTCAACTTCCTAAAAATTTGCTATGATACTTGAATTCTTAAGCGTGCATGCCAGGAATTATCTGAACGATACACAAGTATTCATACCGAAATCTTCTCAGCAAACTCTTCTCTCTGCCCATCAGAAAGGCCACGAAAAACTTTTCCCTCAATGACAGTTGGCTCAGTAGCATCTGAATCAGAAGTAAGTATGCCACATTCCAAAGCAATTGCTTTTGCAGTTTGAACATTGTCGCCCGTAACCATGCATACCTACATGTTTATCAAGTTGGAAGGAGAACTTCAAAAATACAACACCCAATCGTTCACTTTCTAACAAGAAATATTTAAAAGCATGACAGTCACAGTACGTAAAAAATAGTGAATTTTTTAAAAAAAGCAAAAACATAACCATGGTGGGATATACATTGAACAGGCACCAACGACATAAAACTCATGCATTTATAAAACCAAAAAGAAACCACATCCAGAAATATCCAAGTGCTCACTTTCTGACAAGAATATTTAAAAGCATACCCAGCAAATAATTATGAAAATCCTACCAGTAATAAAACAAAAAACGAAAGAAACATGGCGGGATATACATCGACACAAACACCCACCTCAAAAAGCACTTGCATAGATAAAACCAAAAAATAAAGCACATCAAGAAATCATTCACGTAATGATCTTCCAGTTAGTGGAAAACGACTTCCTTTTGCCCAAGTGTAATAGTCAAACTAATGCCAGTTTTTAGGAGAAGGGAACAAGCGGGAGGCTAAACAAATTATTCCACATAAAATAGTATAATAAATGAAGATGCATCAGACAATCCTATGACAGGAAAGTAGGCCTTCCATTGTTGCACAATCACAGTTGAACTTAGTTGTAAAAGCTGAACCCTATTGGTCTTCTCCAACCTTCCAAACACTCTTCATCCAATTATATAAACACCCCTCCATATGAAGAACAAAAATTCACATGATAATTTCAAATTTGGAATTGAAATGTCACTAAATAATACCTTAACACCAGCTCTTTGGCATAGTTGCACTGCTTCTCTAACCCCTGGCCGACAAGGATCCTGCATTTCATTATTGTGTACATAAGCCAAACAAACTAAATGTGAACGCAAATTTAAAAAGCAAATAAAACTTATAGATGCACTACCTTAATACCAACAATAGCAAGCAGAACAAGGTCGTCATCAGGCAATTCCCACAGAGCTAGTTGTTGTTCATCGGTTGGAACGCTTTCTAATTCATATGATCTATATGCAATAGCAACACAACGCAAACTGCGAGCAGCCATATCCTCAATGGACTCCCTGAACATCATTGACTGCAGACAAAGAACTTCATTAAAATTAACCATTTGACAAAATCTTCCAAAGTCCAAGGTCAACATAAAAATACAAACTAGTGAGAACATAAGCCTAAGAACAAACTTGTACAGCTTAAATTAGGCTCTTATGCACAAAGAGATGTTAAACTGTCTTGCCAGAATAGAAAAATTGTAATGCATGTGAAAATCATCGCAAGCAGTAAAGAAGGAATGACTAAAATATAAAGAAAAAAAAACAGAGAATGAATTACGCATGTCCCATTCATTGAAAAACCACAGAAATCAACAACAATCATGTAACTGTTCTGTAAATGTCACTATAAATTTCTCCTACCTTGTCATTATCCATTGCTGCCAACTGATCATTTTCATCAAGGTACTTTGTACATGAGGCCAATACTAATTCAGCAGCCCCTTTCCAGTGTATATGAACTTCAGAATTGGGCTGTAATTATTGAAAGGCAATCAAACATTATTTACACTTGAAAAGTATTGTAATATTATTTCCCATGTCTGTAAATCATGTTCTCAGGCATAACAGGATTTTTACTAAACAGCGTACAATAAAAGTTCATCTAGATCCCTGAAATATTTGTTGCATTCAAGGGGGTAACAAATAGGCACAACGCATGTGTAGAAATTATAATATAACTTGTAATGTACAAACTTAAAATGCCATATGATTTATATAGTATATAAGCAAGAAAACTTTATGTAGTGGAAATTTTCTCTTGCCAGAGCATGTAAATCTGGACAATTGAGTAGTTTGACTCTTGCATAATTGTAGGGACCAGCTTCAGTCCACATGAGAGCATCACCCTTATATGCCATATCATGTTAAGAAAAGATCTACCAGAACTAAAACTTTGCTCACAGAAGCAAAATTTTCCGGGAAGATATTTACTAGTAAAAGCTCAATCAGCAACTACAATAATAATCTGTCACCAAAGGCAATTGGCAAAGTATACCTACGTTGCCTCCCCCACCCACCAATAAATTTATTTATTTATTTATTTTAATGACTCTTGAAAGCATTTTCACTACTGTGAAGATGGCAGCATAAATGATTGGTCACAACAAAGAACAATTAATCCACTTTACCAATTCAACAGCAGCGCCACCTCGCTTTTTCTCAGAGTTGAATGGGAACACATGAAGAACCGAAGATTCAGACTTGATGGCTTCAAAATTCATTCCAAGCTGCAAACAAATTAATAGTAACCAATGGATCACTTAAAAATAAAGTCACATTAGAAGTGGCAAAATAGTTGACATTGGAAAACCAAAAGAAAGAACCTTGATTCCCCATTGCAGAATTGCCTTTTCAGTTGGTGAACCAGAAACTTCTATATCACCACCAGTCTACAAAAAAGAAGCAATGGCAAATTGTTACAGAGTGTAAGCCTTTTTCACTCATATTCTGCTAGACAAATCTTACTAAGGAAAGAAATACAAACACTTTAAGCATACCTCAGGCACATAAACACTGCCAGTTGAATTCAGTGCGATGCCTTCAATAAGCAAAGCTGATAGCATTGGAGACAAGTCTGACTTATTGTCAGAGATATCAATTTTCTTCCCACCAGTAAAAGCCTCAACCACAGCCATCTATGCTAAAAAAAAAATATCAAAAAAGAATATCAGTCATTAGCAGTCCTTGCCTAGACCACCAACGTCTTCCCCCAATCTCTGCACAACAAAAATTAATTTTCCAAAAGTCCCAGAACACTTGTTGTGCTCACATCCACCAGCGTTTTTCTTACAACAACCAAACAAACTGACTAATCTCAATTTGGCTTTTTTTAACTAGGGCAGCACTTTGGCTGGGTTGAAACCACAAACTAGCTTTCATCCAAACTTATCTAATTGGTAACAACTCTCCAGCTTCATCATCATAAATCTACAAGGAAATAGACACTCTTTCTTCCATCACATTATAACCTAGCTTCCTCCACCCAAAATGAATGAAGAACAAAAGGGGAAAAATAAAGCCCATTGTAAGTTATAACCCACCTGGTTCAAAGTTAAGGTTCCAGTCTTGTCACAGCATATAGTTGTGGCAGAGCCCATGGTTTCACATGCAGATAGCCTTCGTACCTACATTTAGAATTCCATCGTTTTCATTTAATTATATGCTTAACCAAAATGTGCATCATCTACAAAATCTATGTAGGAATAAAAATGAACAAAATTACACATACCAAGGCCTTATCTGCCATCATTTTTCTCATCGAGTAGGCAAGCCTGTGACATAGCCATGGGATAAAAGGGAAAAGAAATGAGGAATGTAGAGAGATGAATGCATACAATGCATATATGCTTTACAACAAGACAGAAGCAGATATTATTCTTTCTTTCACTGAGATCAGGTTACTCAGTATAAAGCACATGGTAGAAGTGAAAAATAAAATATAAAAAATAGTTCTGGCACAAAAGAACGAGCACACTTACGTCAAGGTAACAGCTAAGGGAAGCCCTTCAGGAACGGCAACCACTACAATGGTGACCTAAAATATTTTCATAGTAGTCAAAATCACACTTTTCTATTTACAGTAAATAACCAGGTAGGCGACGACACACATACGTATTGACTGCAAATAACCAAATAGTTATTGACATACTGCTATAGTAACAATCTTAATGGCTCCATCTATGGCATCTCCTAATTTAGTCTTTCCGGCTGTAAACTGAGCAGTTCCATTTGCACTTTTTGTATGGCCAGTAAAGTATCTGCACAAATTATATTATGCAATCTTAAGTCAACTGTCATGTCATGGAGAAGGGGTCGCTAGCAATGATCGGAATATACCTGACCAATAGGACAACCAAGACAGCAAAAGCTACTGTAAGTCCGACAATTCCAATGAAAGTAGCCACCCCATTTAAGCGCACCTATTCATAGTCATCCATGGTTCAGTACAACATGTCATGCATGAAAAGAGAATTATTTCAATATAACAGTTCATTAAAGCTGACCTGCAAAGGGGTTTCTTCACCAGTATCTTCTGAAATATTAGCCATGAGCAATCCCCATTCGGTACTAACCCCAACACTGGTTACCTGAAGAAACAATAATAATAAAACATTGACTGTTCTATTTCAACAAATAAAAAGCAAGCCTTCCAAAAACAAAGACTCAGCAAGCAGACACTGAAGATGAAATTTCGACGAAAAAAAAAAGACACTGAAGATGAAAGATACGAAATAATTAACATATATATATGGGTCAGGATCCGGGTACACAAAAATCCACACTTTTTGACACACTTTTCCCCCCTTAGATAATGAGCCATCCAAGGGTTAGAAATCCACCAAACTTAATTCTTAAAAAAATATAATATTCCTTTATAACTTTTGAAAATATTAATTCACAGTGTACGAGGTTCATCTCTCTTCTCTACACCACCTGCTTTTCTCTCTCCATCTTTCCCTCTCAGTTTCTCTATTTCTGATCGTAGAATTAACCGGAAATTCCAGATCTTGGGAATAAAAAGAAATATCTCGAATGCTTTGTTTTCTTCTTACATCTGTTGTTTATGTTTTTATCTTATTTGATTCTGATCTCAACAAGTACAGCCAGTCATTTAAAAATAAAATTGTGAAGAAGAATTATTAAAAAAGACAGTAGGAAAAAATACTTCGTGGGTAAACTTTGGTTTCTTTTGAATTCATGGGTTTCTCAAAACAAAACAAAAGAAAGAAGAAAAAGTCTTCGTTGTAAATGAAATTCAAGAGTCAAGAAAGATCCATATTCAAAATATGGTTAAAACGTGGGTGCTCTATAATCCGGTAATAGGAAAGTTGATTATATGCCAAATCCGAAAACAGAGGTTTTTATGTAGTTGCTGGTTGTTTTCTGGGGTTTTCCCTTCTTGTTCATGTAGCACCAGGAGCATCCTTTTTAGCATCTTTTAAGAGTCCACCCATTGAATATAGGCCAATGAAAATTCAATGTGAACTACTGGATTGAAGACTAGGGGAGCTTATAGTTTTCCTAATGGAGTTTGAATGAGCAGAAGAGAGAAAGCAAGTTAGAAAGAGCTTGACCAAAACCCAAAAAGTTAGAAGGAGAAAAAACGAAGTGCCAGAAGATAGAGAAAGGAGGGGCACGAGAATTTAGGAAGGATAGAGGAGAGAACATGTAAAAGCATTAAGTGTCAAATTTGTTATGGTAATCACAAGTAATATTATAATGGATGCAATCTGAACCATTGAATGTGATTGAATCTAACGGTTTAAAATGTATGTACTAATTTGTGTCAAAAATGTGTCCTCCATCCTGACCCTATATGTATATCCTGTATAACCTACACATCATGGGAAGATCAAAAGACGATTGACCAGCAATACATGTGCTACACAGGCCCGGCCATGGGCCAGGGCAGGAAGTGTGACCGCTCTGGCCCTGACTCAAGGGGGGCCCAAAATTAATATTTTTTTGTCATTGTCAGGTCATATTTAACGGTTATATAAATAAAATAAAAGACCTATTGACATAAAGTAACGCCAGCGGTGTTGGTTAAGCCTGGTTTTTAATTCAAGTCCTTCCCAAGTTCGAATCCCAGCATTGTGTTTCCTTCCTTATGCTTTTTTGAGGGTCTTCAAGTATGCAGGTTCTTTTTAGTAGTTCAATGCTTCTTCTTCTTTTTGGGTCTTCCATCGTTTCTTATAGAGAGATTTATATAAAATAAGCAGGTTCTTTTTAGTACTCCAATGCTTTTATATACATCTCTCATTTTATAATATTATGTAGAGATATATAAAAAACCACATAGATGCATCTCTCATTTTCTTTTTTGTCTTCGATCCTTTCTTATATAGAGATATATATAAAATAAATGATACTATGTAGATCTCATTTTATAATATTCTACTTTCACATAGATTTTTCTTGTGTGGTATATATATATAAGGTCTATTTTTGGCGTTGCCCCGGGCCTTGAAAATCTCAGGACCGGCCCTACAACTATGGTATTTTTTATAAAACATAACTAGGGTGATACTCGGAAAAATATGATATCCTAAGTGGCCTTTAATAACTTAGATATGACTCCATAGCTTTCAAGATAGTGCACTATAGGAAAGAAGGGAAAATAGTTGTAGGCATGGAAAAAGGAGAAGAGGGATATCTGAATCTTTACCAACATAGTACCACTACCATCTGCTACTTTGCAGCCAGACATTAGAAATGGTTCCTTGGAGTCCTTACGAACCTACAACAAAAATATAATTTACATTTAATAAAAAAGGCAATGTTCAAACAAGGCTACAGAACAGGCATAAAGGCTCACAATCTTGCTCTCTCCTGTCATGCTTGACTCATCTATTGCAAGTGAGTGACCGCTTATTAAAATGCCATCAGCAGGGACCTAAAGATAGAATCAGAATATTAATAAGTTTTGCATTTGAAATGCAATTGTAAAATATACAACAAAAGTTTACTGACAAACACCCATACTTGATCGCCAATGTTAAGGGGTACAACATCACCAACAACAAGATCAAAAATTGAGACCTCAACTCGTCTGCCACCTCTAATGACCTGAACATTAACTCCAAAGATGAATCCCAGCAAAAGAAAAGAAATAAAACCGCAACAAATAGGAATTGTAATGCAACCAGAGAAGCACACCTCCAAATGTATATTTCTCTTTTCCTCATTTAAAATCTGGAACTGAAGAGATTGTCTGTAATCGCTTATGGCTGCACGTAAAAAGTGCAGGAAAAACTTATGAGAGTGTGTACCACTTCTGATTAATACATGCTCCCATATATATTAGTTCAAGTAATATTACACCCATATATACTCATTGACGACAGATGCTTAAACACCCCACAAAAAGAGAGTGCAAACGAGAATAGATTATTAAACATCCAATGTAAGAATCTCATTATTGCCCATCAGTGACATGCATAGTAGCCCCACCCCATCCAGTGAAGACAGATGGATACATATAAGCAAACACAGTCCCCTTCTATTGAGGGATTCCTCAAATAAACACCCTGCAGGGTCTGATGCAAATTTTATTTCAACGATCCAAACCATCTATGTTTTAAGTCTTCATTCAAAGATCATCCTTGCAAAAAAAATTACCAAAATCGGAAACCATTAAGACATCTAGTTGTGATCAACAAAATCGATGATCCCGGTAGTTCAAGAAAACACTAAAACTACAACCATCAATTGAATGGTCAAATGATTTCGAATTCATATGATTTTTTGCAGGAATGTTCTTTGAAGGAACACCTAAAAAAACAGATGATTCGGATTATAAAAATACAATGTGTATGGCACCACAAGGGTGTCCCTATTATACATATAGGGTAAATTACTCAAATGGTCCCCAAACTTGTACGCGATTTACATTTTGGGGCCTCAATTAAATTATTCGTTCAAATGGTCCATCAACTCTATATTAATCGCTCCATTGGTCCTACCGTCTAATTTTCTATTAGATTTAACCAAACTTTAGGGTAAATAATGACCAATTTGCCCTCATATTTAATGGAAATATTGACATAATGTAACAGTAGGACCATTGGAGCGAATAATATAGAGTTGATGGACCATTTGAATGAATAATTTAATTGAGGCCCCAAAATGTAAATCGCATATAAGTTTGGGGACCATTTGAGTAATTAACCCATATACAAATATATATATATAGAGAGAGAGAGAGAGAGAGCGTAAATAAATCTTGAGTTCAAGACGCAGTGTTAAATAATAAGATCCAATGAAGAATGGATGCATTCTGCCAACCATGATGAGTCTTCACTGAATAAAACATTCAAGCATGTTTTTAGGAACAATCACAAAACCTACCAAGGACATGCAGGGCCGGCCCTGGGGGTAGGCAACAAGGGCCTTGGCCATGGGCCTCCAATGAAGGGGGCCCCAAAATTTTTTATATTATATATATATATTTTATTGTCCAACTAAAAAAAAAAAATTTAAATAAAAACAGAAAGTCAGCGTTGTAATTGACGAGGAAGGTTGTTCCTCTTCCCATTCAGAAACTCTTTGTTTCCTACGCCACACAGCCAGCCAAGAGCAACAGCTCCTTTCCTAATTATTTCTCCATGGAGCTCTATTTAATCCATCGATCTCTTAATAATCCACCATTATATTTTTCTCTGTTATTCCCATCTCCCTTCAATCCATTACCCATATCCTTTATTTTCAGTTTCTATCATCTTTCTCATATCAGATTCATATTATAACCCTAAGTTTCAATCTCACCCAAAAAGCTCACAAATTGTCTTTGAGATTGATGGTGACCAAGAGGGGAGGAGCATGAGAAACTGAAAAGGTAATCAGATTTATAATTTTTTCTTTATATTTGTTCCTACCCAGCAAACTATTGTTTCAATTCAATTTCCAATAGGAACAAAACATAGAGAGATACAGAGTGGTAATCAGATTATTGTTCAGATTTTATTCTTGTCTAACTTGTTTTTTGTCTCTAGGAAACTCCGCAAAGGATAATTATAGATTCATACTGGCAATCTAATTTGACTTTTCTAGATATCAAGCCGCTAACTTACAGCATACAGCTAGCTAACTTAATTTGGATTTGTTTCTAAGGCAAAACATACTCTGCCTGGTGGAGATAATCCCCCAAGTCTCCTTATATAAGTCGCTATAAAACTGCACAATGACATCTACTAAACTTCTCTAACAAAATCTTGCATATATCTTATCATTGCAGATGTACATGAATCAAGTGAAGGTACGGAGTGGAGTTTCTCAAAGTGCCAGAAGATCAAGGATTTTTCAGTGATTGATTGTACTTTTAATGTTACAGTTTTTACTTTTTTTATTGTAAATGGTGCAGAGGAAATCAAGCAGCTATTTGATAAAGGGAAAGCTTCAGATATTTGCACATTGTAATGGGATGGATCTCTTATTGGCTGCCTGTTTGGGAGGAAGAAGGCTACAGGAAGATTTTGTACCCATCCAAATTTGCTGCAACCATTTCATATGTTGTTTTCAAAGCTGATTTTGCTAAACTCATGTGATGAAGCTTGAAGCCAGAAGCTAATCTTAAGGGAAAGGGTTTAGTATTTTGAACAAACACTTAGTTTTAATGTATCTTGACATGTTCCCATTATTGGTTGTTGGAATGTTGGTTTGTAAATTTTTAATTTCCTTCATGATATTAAATATGTAATCAGAATTTTATTGTTTTATATGGAGATATGGCTACACTCTACATAAAATCATTTTATTTGTTGTTTTTTTTGCAATT